ATAAAATTCTAATAACTTATATTTTAATGGAATAGAAACAAAAAAAATACTGTAAAAAACATTTTTAACCATACCTGTGGTCTAAATAGATTATAGACAGTCCTAAGTCTGTYAAAAYGGRAAGGAAAATGTTAGTATAGTGTAGTACTTACCAAAAAATATTCAAGAACTAATGTTGTAGCTAAAATAATTCAGGACCCAACTAGTGTAGTAACTATAAAAATCAAGGACCGAACTAGTGAAGTACCTATAAAAATCCGAGACCCAACTCGGATGCAGCCGTATTGGTTCCCGATATTCTAGATAAGTGGAACACATCCGAATCGGATGCTATTTAGTTGCATGAACCACTGTACAACCGTAATATGAACTTATATAGGTACTACTTAACTATTATACGATACGCGTACATCATAGGCGAATCTAGGAATTCATAGCAGGGTGTGCCTTTGCCCTTTACCTCAAAAAGGCCCTCTGTAGTTCAAAATACCTCTCAGTTATCACACGTTTAAAATATGTTTCACATTAATAATATTAAATAATATTATTAAGATTAATTTTTATTACCTAGTTTAGATGCTACTTTTCATGCTGTAAAATACACATGTAATGTTTCAAAATTATTCAATTTAATAAACTACAACTATCGCAAAGTTCAATATATGTTACTCAATTATTTTTTTCGGACATACTTACAATCAACAATTAAATTGTTAATGAATTATGTTTAAAATTCTTGGATGTTTAATATAACATATTAATTGTATTATTATTAATAACAAAGAATTGTATTAAATATATTATAATATAACTGGTATCTAGTAATAAGTGACATGATATTATATTTGATACTTCTGTGTTAAATGTTAATACTTAATACGAAATAAAGTATTTTTGTAATATATTTTAATATATTTTATTGTAATATTTTTAATGTATTAAAATTAAAATACAAATTGTTTAATGTTTAGACTCAATACCATTGTAACTGAAATGACTAAATGAGTATTATGGGCCCTACATAGGTTTATACGAGACGCAGGGTGTGTCCTGGCACACCCTGTAGATTCGCCTATGGCGTACATATAGGCAGATAGTTAGATGGACAGCTATATAGGTTTATAGAGATACCTTTATTGCACAGCGATAAACACTTACGAAAACGGAAAAAGGCGAAATACGAACTTATAACATTATTATAACATATTTCCCAACATGATAAGTACAAATGTACCAAAAAATGATTTAGATAAGAATTGTGTCGTGAATTAATCGTTTTTTTTTAGTTAAAGAAAAATTGACGAATTAAAAAAATGTATTATTATTATATTGCTTATTATTTATTTTTATTTTTTTTAAATGACATTCACGACAAAAGCCACATTTTTTTAAACATACCTGCATAATATGTAGACAGTCCTAAGTGACCTAAGTCTGTATAAAATGAGAAGGAAAATTGAAATGCTTTTTCCCGGGAACCAATTCGGATATACCCTTCGTAACAACTCGGAAACCAATTCAGATACACCGATTTTTTACATTCAATTATTTTAATGTCAGTTGTGTATTTTTTTAGTATTGGGTACTCCACTGAAAAACAAACTACAGTATTATCTCAATCCTACAATTTACCTATTATTCTTCTGTCTTATTTGATAAAAATAATTGTGGAGTATTAACTTTCAAAGGAATGATGACAAGGAGATTGAATTTATCTGAAATGATGAGAGCCACTGTTTGGTCAAAGTATAAAATACTACCTATGCCTGAAAGCAGAGAGTTCTCCGCTTTAGTAATTTACGCATGACGACCTTACGGCTTACATTATATATACAATAAATTATTTATTTTTATTTTTTTACTCATCACAAGATTTGTGAAGATTTAGCAAGCGTGTCACTTTTGGTCTGCTTGCTGTATAAGTTCAGCACTCCCAATTTTAGTGACTGTATCRCAATTTCTACATTCCATGAGCCTTGTATTTCTATATTACTATCACGATAACCAGCTTCAAGTTTTCTTCTATACTACAAATAATCAATGATATCCATAAATAAAAAATTTAATTTTTTGTTTTAATTTCTGGCACCAAATTACTAAATAATCAAATGATGAATTGAACAATGTCTGAATTATTTAAGTTGCAATTTTTTATAGGTAATGGAATGCACTAGATAAACTAGTAGAACATATTTGCCATGAAATCATGTTTTATCGTGTCAGGGCAAATCTCCAAGAGCTCTTAGATGAAATATGTGCAACTGAAATTTTCTTCTCACAGCTAAAATGTAGAAGAAACTGTATGTTTATGAATAATGTAATTATTTTATTCTTTTTGGTATTTACCATKACATAGTTATATTTTAATCTATGTATATCTAATATAGCAATAAAAAAAACCCAATGGTATTGGAATTGATGGTATTTTAGAAAATAAAAATTGTTTTCACAATTAAAACACAAATTAATATTAGTATATAATTTGATTTTCACTACATAATTGCAATAAAATTGATTATAAATTAATTTTTTCGAGCATATGGTTTAAGTATGTTAACGGTTTTTTAAGTTGTACATAAATATTAAAAATTTATAACAAAATCGAGCTTAGAATAGTTTTATTCATACAAACTATAAAGTATAATCTAATTTTTAAAACCATTTTTTTAGAACTAAAAGAAATAATAAAAAAAGTGAGAATTCAATTTACAGACTTAGAAATCTGACAATACACTACTGAAGTGAATAATAATTTTAAATTAATTCTAGCTGTACTCAGATAGAAACCAATTTTAAATTTCCATAAAATAGGATACGATATATTATGTAAACATGAAGCTTCTTATAAAAAAAAAAACAAGGTATTGACTATTTACAAATATTTGTTCATGACCCAAATAAAACCACTAATATAAATCATATGTATATTTAATTATAAACCAAKATTTAATTTTTAAAAAGSTAATTCTAGATTTAAAGATTTTAGAAAAAAAATATATATACCTAAAATAATGTCATAAAATATTACTTAAATTTAGACACTAATGATGTTTAAAGATTCACACACTTAATCTTAATTAGAATTTTATGAATTAGAATCTTCATCATCTTCATCGTCACTTACATGCTTCTTTTTTTTTCGTCTGTTAGATGTCCGAACTTCAGACCCTTTACCACGAGGTTTCACTTTCAGTTTCAATTTAACAGAAGATGAAGTGGTATCAGCATCTGAAACCTCGTCTTCACCTAAAACATTAAGAAACAATTTTTAATACATAATTTTTTAATCTAMATAGATTATTATTGTTAACCAGTTTTTGTAAAAAATATTATAGGTTAACATAGTAATTTATGATAGTTAAGGGGATGTTAACACACTTAATGTTATCTCTCACTGACCAACACGCTACGCTACAATGCTACATATCAAGTTTACATTCAGCCACGATTATAAARAATAGGTTAAGCATCGCCCGCTGTATCAGCGGTCAGAACTAGTTACGTTCCGCGTAGTTTATAAAACCGCTGAGCGCTGCTAGTCAGACATGCTAGATTTTTATTATTCTGTGATAGTGATAATCCCAATGGCCAATGCCCAACAGAATAAAACGTTTTTAGATTTTACGCTTGCAATGTCTTGTAAAAATATAAAGTATGTATTCGAATAAATTTAATATATATTCAAATACTTTTTTTTTATTCGAATACCATTTTAATTACCTTATGAAAAATTTCTTCGAATAGGTATTCCAAATATAAAATAAAAGTATTCTTTTCTTTGTATGACTGGGTCTAGGTTGCAATCGTGCTCAGACACCCGAATATCTCAAATATTTACTTTTCTTAAGTTATACATATCATAGGTATACCATATACCTCTCTTTAAAATTTTAATGAATCAAAATAAACATAATATTATATTATAAATATTTATGTTGAAATTAAACAACTTAATATTCAGGGTATAATAAACCAGTCTTCAGAGGAGTGTCGATTTTTGGGATTTGTAAATTTGCAGCTATTACTAATGTTTATTAGTTATATATTTTATAAAATTGYATGGTATTTTACTTAATTCATCTTTTGCAGCACTTATTTCACTCTAAATTTGGCCCTTAATACATTTTTTTTTTAATTCTATGCTCATCTTTTCTAACAGTGTTAAGTTGCTCCTTTTTAGATAGTGACAAAAGCAAAATACTTTTTTTACCTTAACGTTTTCTTTTCATACRCATTACACCACTTATATTAAAGCAATGCAAACAGCTTTGTGTTTGTAGTATCTTATAATTTAATGTTATATATGGACACTGTTTATGTCGTCAATGTCCAATCAGTCCTGCATGTGCCGTACTGTGATGAATATCGAGATATTGGTTTTCTAATAGGCCCACAATACACACATGAATATTATTAAGCTGTTGTAAAATACTAGTATATTTTGAACTAATGGTAAACAGGGAATTTCTATACCAATTTTTTCTATAACAAATATTATGTTATACATTTTCACATTACCGCCATATCTTTACCAAAGCTAATCTGTTTTTCAAGTAACAATTCAAATGTCCCATCAATATCAATGCATGATATTGCAAAATAAAAAGCTATAAATGAATTTTTTTCATTAATTATTTTATACTCCAACTACTTGGACATAAAACTACAGTTGGATTTTTAAATATTTGAGAAAATATTACACCTAGCTGATATTCTGGCTGTAGAGAGGAAATGGCCGTCTCAGTGGGAACCAAATGAAGAACTTTATAACCATGATACAGATAACTCTAAGCTTACAGACTTATGAAATAGCCTGTTTAACTAGCAGTACCAATCTAGTGGATATTATTACAACTATGTGAACTGTAACGCGTTGTGACCGAGCGGTTGTGTATAAATCATATTACCGATGTCTAACCTRTTCTTTATAATTGCCCATTCAGCAGAACAAACCCTATGTTGTCACATTTAGTATTAACATTGATTTTATAACATACAGATAAGCCATCGCATAGTGACTAAAATTATGTTGTCAGTTGCTAGGTTTGCTGCATCCATTTTCATTGAGTGCAATGTTTACTGATACAGCAAACCTAGCAACCTAGCAGCTGACAGAATAATTGTAGTATTGAAAACTCACATTGAATGGCTTATCTAGTGCATTAGAAAAGCAATGTTATTAGTGTGAACTAACCTATTATCAAACTCTAAGGTAAAAAAATTACCTGTGTAGCAACATTGRCTATTTAATATTTTATAATATTTTAGTTTTTATCTAAGGTAGAGCAGGTAAGTTATTACAAATTAAATATGTTTATAAATTGTATAAAAACTAAAATATTGTAAAGTAATCAAAAAAGAAACATAAGTAAAGAAACTTGAAAGTTTGATAATAGGTAAATTTACTTTACTATTAAAAGTTACAATATGAGGTTGGTTTTGTTAAATGTAAATTTGCTGTTGAGCGCGAGTCAGAGGAAAAAAACAAATGGTAAAGTTACACTTACAAGTGGACATTTTAGTAACACATACACACAACAAAGCAAATATAAATCCTCTTTAACGTTAGTAAGAAAAAGGATTACTTCTGTTTGTTTATAGTCAATATAAGAGCAAATTTAAATATTATAAAATTTRTACATCAAATGTGCCTCAATAAAGTTTTTTTTCATAAACTTTTATAAAAACAAAAAATATTAATTTAAAAAAATGAAGTTTTTAGTACTTAAAATTAATTTTGAAATAAATATAAGAAAAAACTTCACTCGAGCCCATTTTATAATCTCCTATACAAATTTGAAAATCAATAAAGTTGTTCAAGCAATAATTATAAATAAACTGTAGTAAGACCTAGATACATATATTTACTATGTTATGACATAACCCATAATAATAAATAATGATACAATACAAAATACTAATGTTGCTCAATTTTATTATTAGGATTTGAAGTTGTAAGTACTAAGTAATATTACTTTTTGTTCCTTCTTCTGGTCCTGATTCTGGAATATCGGTTGATTCTAATCGTTGACGAGAATTTGTGAAAACCGATTGTAAAACTATGGAATCTTCATGAATAAGTGAAGCTTCTTCATTATATATCTGTGCGTTCTTACATAACTGTACAAAGTCAGCTTCAAGTTCATTTAAATCTGCATACTAAAATGTAATAAATAAAACAACATATAGTATATAGATGGTTTATGATTATTAYACTCTTAACTACAATATTTTTTTAAAACTGTTTATTCAAATAAAAACACAATACCTTTCCATCRTCAATTTTTGCCATTATTTTTTTAATATCCATCGGTTTTTTTATTACTTCATAATAGTCTGGTAATTTATGTCTAGATGGTAATTTCATAAATGGCTCACTAAGTATTCTGGAATCCGAATCTGTATATTTTACTACTATGTTCATGATAGTTTTCATTTTTTTTCGAAGTTTTAATTCTTCAGGTCCAATTGTTTTACGTCGTCTAATTGGTGGATCGTCATCGTCATCTGCATTTCTTTTACCCCTTTTCTTACCACGGTTTCCTTTACGGTTTGATTTAATTTCTTCTTCTTCGTCATCTTCAAAGTCATCAACATTTTCATCTATTGCCTTCAACCATTCTTTTTCAGTCAAACTATCAGTGTAATCTACTTCTTTACGAGCACGAGAACCACGTCCCATAATCTCTTCCGAATCTTCTTCATAAGTCCATCTTTCCACCTTAAAAATAAATTTTGTTTATAAATCATTATTTATATGATTTAAATAAAAATAAAAATAGTACCTCGTCTTCATCCTTAACAAGCCATTCTGGTAATTCTGATATTTCAATTAACCTTKACTTTCTATTTGGGCCAAATTTAGCTTCTTCTCTTCTACGCTCAAGATCCATTTTTTGGAATGCTTCAAATTCATCTACCGACCGAGCTATCATCTGGTTCACAACTTCATCATCAGGTACTTCATTTTCCTCCTAAAAATATAAAAGGTATAATATAAAAATCATCTGGGCATACTTGAGCTATTAATAAAAATTTACTTCATCATCTCCATCATCTTGATGTAGAATAGATTGTAAGAATTGTTGACGCTCTGATCCTGTTGATTTTTGATCGAACATACCAGCCTGGATTACTTTTTCATCCATGTTTAACTTGTATCTAGCAGCAGCTAATATACGCTCTTCAACAGAATTTACAGTCATTAAACGAAGAACCCGTACTTCATTTTGTTGACCAATACGATGAGCACGATCTTGAGCTTGCAAATCCTATGAATAGAAAATATTAAGTTAAAAAAATATAAAATAGTTAAAAGTTACAAAACATAGTTACGAGTGGTTTATTAAATAATTATTACTTGATGTGGGTTCCAATCCGAATCAAATATAATAACAGTATCGGCTGCTTGTAAATTTAATCCAAGACCACCTGCTCTTGTACTTAATAAAAATAGAAAATATTCACTGCCTGCACTATTAAACTTCTTCAAAAGATCTCCTCTATCCTCAGCTTTAGTAGTACCATCCAAGCGCAAGTATGCAAAACCTCGCCATCCTAAATAATCTTCCATAATGGTCATAAGTTGGGTCATTTGACAGAACAATAATACCCTATGATTAGTGGCTTTCAGTTTTGGTAAAATTCGATCCAGTAACTCAAATTTTCCTGACACTCTGTATAAATCTGGCCTATGAGTACATGAAAAAATAATGTTTTTAGCAAATTATTATTAACAATGTTCTGATTCATAATAAAAATTACCCTTGAACAACATTTCCAGCAGTACCAACATGTTCACAATATTTTTCTTCAATACTTTGAAACATAAATGGATGATTGCACAGCTTACGCAATTGAACAATGGTGTTCATGAGAGCTTTAGCACCACCTTTACCTTGTTTGCCTTTTTCAGCACCATCAGTTAGTAATACACCTTTACTTTGCATATGTTTGTATAAAACTCGTTGCAAGCCAGACATATCACATTTAACAATGTATTCTACTTTATCAGGTAATTGGGACTCAACTTCTTTTTTCAAACGCCTTAATAAGAATGGACGTAATACTTTATGAAGACGGCGAATAATCAAAATAGTTTCTTCCTCATTTAATTCAACCTATAAATATACAAAATAACAACAAAAAGTTATAACTTTTTTCTTTATATTCTTTAATTTATGGTAAATACCTTTTCTCCAGTAGTTGCAAATGGTGCATTAAACCATTGTTCAAATGTTGAACATGACTTAAATATTGATGGCAACAAAAAGTTAAGAAGAGCCCAAAGTTCAGGGAGTTTATTTTGCAGTGGTGTACCAGTCAACAGTAGTCGGTGTGGAGCATTATAATGAGTGTTTAAGACTTGTGTCAATTTACAGTGATGATTTTTCATACGATGACCTTCGTCTATAATCATGTATTTCCAATGAAGCTAAAAATATATATACCAATGACAAAATAGTATTTAAAATTTAAAATAAAATCACTGTGAAATAAATATTACATACTTTAGCAAGAACTGATTTATCTTTTATAACATATTCATATGTAGTTAATAAGACATTAAATTTATTAGATCGCATTTGTGTCTGTAAATTTCGACGCATTATTGGTGAGCCTTTATAAGCCACAACAAAAACTGATGGAGACCATTTTTCAAATTCCAACACCCAATTTGACATTGTACTAAAATTTAAAAAAAAATACATTATTTATATCTCAATTAATAAGGCACCTAAGAGTATGCTACTCATGCATTTGCAGTCACCAACTTACACACACATGACAGTAAATTTTTGTACACTGGTTTCAATAATGTGCTGTTAGTTTTGATATTGGAGTAGAATTGACCACTAGTTAAATTTTATTTGAAAAACATTATATGTTCTAAAGGGTTGGTGATTTTTTGATATTTGTAATTTTCAAGCAAGATATAGATATGTGAAATATCAAAAATTAAAAATGCTTATAACTCACTTGAAAATGAAAATTTTAAATAAAAATTAACGCTTAAGCACAGATAATGTTTTCAACTAAAAGTTTAATAATAGGTAAATTCACTCTGATATCAAAACTAACAAGCACAGTATTGGAACTAGTAAACAAAAATCTGCAAACTATTGCAGCATGAGTAAAATGGAGTTTAAGTTTRTAAGTAAATTCTTCAAATATTTCAATAAAATTATGATGATATTTTAATATACATTCTAATATTTTATTCAAGAATGATAAATAAGTATTAATGACACATTTTAATTTAAGTACT